GAACACCCTCCTCCACTCTTTCTCCTTCCTCCTCCTCCTTCCTCCTGCTAAATTCTACCTTTTTTTTTTTTTTTTTTTTTACTTTATCCACATGGCTCCTCTTAAAAGGAGCCGGTCTTCCCAAGCTGACTGCTCTGTTAGCATCATCCAGGAACACTTGACCACTGAGAGCCCACACACCTCACAGCGTCAAGCCACCTGTGCCCACTCAGGCTGGGCCTTCCTAAGCCTGGGTCAAAAAGAAAGATGGGCCACACTGACCCTCCATGCCTATCACAGTGCTTATGCTCAGAGGTGACTGATGAACTGAAATTGGGATCAAATGTCACCCAAGGCCTTCAGGGTAAACATCATTCAGTCCTGATGTGTGAAGAATTGTTGATGAGGAATAGTTTATTTTCTCCAAGCCTTTGTAAATGGGGCTTCATTTCTTCTTATTTTTTTGCGGGTGTCATCAATGTATACACCTTTGTGGGTTGTAAATAAAATAGAGAACATTCTAGATGAACATCTTTGCTTTGATCATTGTTTTTTCCTGATGTGGGGAAAACTTGGTTTCCTGATAAGAAGATACCCTAGTTTTCCTCCCTGAAACATCACTAAATGAAGTGATGTGAGAAGGATTAGAAGGGACATGATGGGGCCATTTGTTCCCATCCTCTCAGAAAGCAGAGCCCGTACAGTGTAGCCAAGGAGGAGGCAAAAAGCAGAAGGATCTCCCATTAGGGCTGCGGAGGGAGTGCGTGTGGAGAGAGAGAGGAGGTCCAGGTCCACTGGGAGGAGGAGCAGGAACATGAAAGGGAATTTCCAGGCAGTCTTGATGGCTGGGTGTGCAGGAAATAAAAGAGATTGGCATGAGAAAGAAAAGCAAACACAACCAAAGATGACTATAAGTAAAGAGGATTATAGAGTGTCAGACTGTGTCAGTAAATCCATACAAAGTGAGAATTTAATGTTAGTGTGGGTCTATGAAGAAGAGTTTCAGGCTCTATAATGCCAACCTTGAAAGGGTTATTGGTGCAGATGCTGAAGTTGTAAAAGAAGCAGAACCAGGGTGTGACAGATATGAGACAGCTTCCATGCTGAAGTCATCCAAGGATGTGAGTTCTGGACTCTGGTCAAGAACTTACAGATGAGTAATTTAGAATTCAGAAGCAAGGGAGATGTTAAGACGTGGACAAGTGATGGACTGATGTGACGTAGGAAACGTAGAACATACATGGCCTTTCTTCTCCTTGAGCAGAGAATCGGAGAGAAATAACAATCTTCAAGATCAGGGTTAAAAAGATATTTTTTCATGGCTCTTGTGCCTCACCTAAGCACTGAGAGTGCAAGAAAAAGTACAAGATGCGGTCGGACTCCTAAATAACTCGCCACGTGGGGGTGGGCTGTGTTAATGTACAGGAATTATTTAGAGGTGTGGCTCGTTTTAAACCATTGCAGTCACCACCATCTCCATCTACATCTCCTCGGAAACTCTAGCTGTTTCAAAGGAAAGTAAAATTTATTGGAAAATTTTAATCATATAATTCACCAACCGTTTAACTTTGGTTAGAAATAGAAAGCTCAATGCTCAGAGTATATCGGAAGCCTTACCATAAATTCAGATAATTTGAATTCCAGTGTTCTGGTGAACCCATCTGAAAACAGCATATTTAATTACTTTGGATTTTTTTCCTCCTCATACTAGAGAATCAGGACATGAGCAAACAGGGGCATAGCCGAGCTTTAAGCCTGTTCACTTTTCAGTTCTGGAAAATACCTTCAGCACTGCCAAAACTGAAGGATTTAACTCACTTAGATTTCACCCAGAAAACTTACTTTGTGAAAGAGAAGCACTGCTTGAGAATGACGATGGTTTGCCCCTTACATTCCCAGCAGCTAGCAAGGTGCTGCACTCATATTCAGCGCTCAGAAATGTTTGTTGATGACTCCTTGACCTCTTTTCATTTGCTGCCAGGAAGAGGAGATGGCAGGGAAGAAACAGGAAAAAAAACCTCACAAAATGGAGACGTAGTCATGTGGGTAAGCTAGCCACAGTAATAAGTACCCCCATGCCTCTGACTTTCACTGCTGAGGAAGGCGAGTGTTCTGGCGGAGGGCTGATCACATAAGCTCAGTTGGCTGGTTTCTGCCCACTCTCCTAGCTCTTCTTGTGGATATTTATAAAACCCTTGAGAATTGCCAGTGTCATCTGGGTGAGAGTATTGACTTCTTTTGAGTAGTCATTGATTGATTTAGGTATACAATGATCAGGATTTGGATATACAATGATCAGGACTTAATTCAGGTTGAAGGAGGCCTCAGCCAGAACAGACAAGTTCCTAGTCAAAAAATAATGAATTGAGAAGCTGGACAAAAGTGGAGTTACTGTCTAAAACCATACCCTAGCCCCGAAAATTAGATTTATTTTCCTCCCCTGTACTCTGTACACAGCAGACCACAAGTAGCCTGGGTGTACTTCATCCTCACAGAATGGGGCTTGCAGGAAGCCAGTTGTAGCAACAAGGGCCTAAATACTGGGATCAGCACTTCCCGGGTTGGAGCTAATATCAATAATATTTTTATTAATATTATGCTTGGGTTCAAAAAGATTCATTTAGCCAGGCTAACTTAGGGTACTAAATAACTAGTTACCCACACATACTAATCACAGAAATGTGGTTTATGAAATGATATAAAATAGTTTATGAAATCACTTCTAAACCATCCTTTCAACAGTAATTAGAACAGTCCCATAATACCTTCAACCAAGTGGTATTGGCAAGAATTAGCTGAAACATCTTTAGTATTCTGATGATTATCATTTGAAATCGCCTCTGCAATAAAATGACAGGGTTGTATTTAATTTCTTTTCTTCCACTGCATTTCTCCTTTTCCCCTTTCACATTAAAACATACTTCATAACATTTCATCATGGGGAAAGCTGCCTAAGTTTCCAGTTGCCGTAATTTAGTTAAACCATAAAATTGTTTCCAGATTACCAACCATGAAATGGAAAGACAATCTTATTTATGAATTTATAAATCAGATAATCTCCCTCAAATGAATCCTGAAACCAGAAACACTTTGATGATTAAATAGGGGGGGAAAGTTTTCTCATTACCATGTGTCAAAAGAATTGTGTTTTCGTGAAGTGGCTTTGGTTGGGCTGGTGCTGGTGGTGGTAGTCAGTGCGCAACACGAGCTCCCTGCAGGCCCTGCTGCTTCTTGAGCAGCTTGAGAATCTTTGACCGTCAAGCTCAAGTGTCCTGAATGCTCAAGGCTGCTAGACCACGTCTCCTTCCAGATGGCCTCACTGAGACACTGAGCACAGGGCTTTTGCTCTAGAGCATCCAAACCCATCTCAGAAGGTTCTGCCACTCTGTCAACATCACCCCCAGGGACTCAGGAGAGTGGGCTGCTGTTTTGAGGTTGTCTTCTGCATCCTAAAATCTTCTGCATCACCACTGCCTGGGTGATGCCTGTCAAGAAGCCAAGTGCCCACTGAGCCCAGGAAAATGCCACAGGGAGGTGACCTGCAGAAGCCTGTGGGGAATCTGTCTCCCCTGCAGAGCAGCCATGTTGATGCACGACATGGGATCAGTGTCCTGAATCAGGGAAGACCTTCTTATTTATGAATTATTAAATCAGATAATCACCCTCAAACGAATCCTGGAGTCAGAAACACCGTTGTATCCATTGTTAATGCTGCTGCTCTCCTTTGTTGGACAGAGTAATGGAAGTGGTTGATCTGGGAGGGGTTAGAAAGAGCCCTGATTACACCTTCATCGGGACGGTGGCTATCACCAACGCTGGAATCCTGTCTGCCATTTCTTTCCCATCAGATGCTCTGTGTTCTTAATAGCTGCGGATGTGCCTACTTTTGACATTTCTTAATATTACTGTCTTCTGCGTGTGCTTATGTTGACCCCACAGCTTTCTATCCCACTCTGCACGGCCACAAAACCCATTTAGCTGCTTCCTAACCAAAGCTGTCTAGTACAACGCAGAAGTGCTTACCACTGGGCTGGTCTCAGAAACCATTAATGCCACCACAGGGCAGAGAGGCCCAAGAGCATATGACAGTGCAAACAGAATCCTCTCCAAGGGAGACGCTCTTCCATTTCCCAGAAAGCCTCTGCTGGCCAGTCCAGTGTCTGTTCAGCGAGCTCGCTGGGTTAATGCTCAGTTCTGATCATTGACTTGTGAGCTCTGCAGGGATTTGCAGGTGCTTCACATTCCCTGAGCCAGGCTGGGCTGAACTTTGGTGGCCTGTGAGGTGGTACTTTTATAATCCTCAGCTGATCATTCACCTAGAAAAATCAGTCCTTTCAGGCAGTAGAGCTTTAACAAACAATTCTCTTGTTTTACAGAGAAAGGATGCAAGCCATGGAGAAACAGATTGCCAGTTTAACTGGCCTTGTTCAGTCTGCGCTTTTTAAAGGGCCCATTACAAGTAATAGCAAAGATGCATCTAGGTAAAAAAGAAGAAAGCCAACCAACTAAAACTAATTCAGTCTGTTTCTCGTTAATCATTTACTTCTTTCATGCATTCAAATCTGTTTTCTTGCACTCATTTCAAGGCTGACAATATGTACATCCCTATAAATCATGGTGTGTGTGTGTGTGTGTGTGTGTGTGTGTGTGTGTGTGTTTTCCTTTTGGTAATTCTCGGTCGAAGGTAACATTTGGCCCAAGAAGGGTTAAAGGGCTTTCCAGTGCATGTGGCTTCCTGGACCACTGCCAGTGCCTGCAGGCGCCATCCACACGTCATGCATCGTCACGTTCGCGTCATCCGAAAGTCATGAGTGCCTTCAGCCATATCCCACCTGCAGTGTCAGAGGCACACCTGGGAAGCCTTTTCCATTGTGACCTAAAGAGCGCTGATGCTGAAATACCCTCATTGCTTAATCCCATCACTAGCTGCTGCTAATTGCTTAGAATAATGAACACAAAGGGCAAAAAAAGAGGGCATTTTGAGGCAACTATATAGCTGATTCTCTTTTTCTTTTATTCAGCGAGAAAATGATGAAAACCACAGCCAATAAGAACCACACAGACAGTGCCGGTAAGTATTTTCGAAGCTCCAGGAGGCCTGCAGGCTGCATTTGATTAGCCCTGACTTATTTCAGAAGTACTGAGCCTTTCCCTTGCTTCCTGTGGGGTGTGATTTCAGTGACGTGCCAGATAATTCCCTCTACTGCTGAACCGTGTCTAGTTAATGCCAGTGCCCCAGACTAGCCATTCATTCAGGGGGCCTAAGCATTGTTCCCGCTCTTCAGTCTTCATTCATTCACTCACTTATTTCCACTTATTTGCCAATAAATATATTTGTACCCGATGCTGTGCAAAAATAGTGGGCGTCATTCAGACCAGGCCTCCTTCCTGGAACTTCTAATCCTAAAAGGAAAATTGAAGACCCTCCCTGGTGGTACAAAAGGTTAGGGCACAGCACTGCAAGCTAGCTGCAGCCTGCCTCAATGCTTGTTCGATCCCCAACCCCGGAGGTGATGAGCGTAGCGCAGCAGACCTCTCCTGTCTCGCCCGCTGCTCCCCTCAGCAGTATACTTTGTCGATCTGTTCTGTTCCCCGCTCTGTCTCTGTCTCTAGTGAAGCCTCTCACCACCCCTGCACCTCTGACCTGTACCCAGTTCTGTATGCATGAATAAATAAATTTTTTTAAAAAAAATATGAAAGGACAATTGAGGAAGGGGAATGAGTTATTTCAGTGTTGGTTATAAAGCAAAAGTGCCGGATAAATGTTTAAACCAGCAGATCTGTAACCTGAGAAGTGACACAAGTTAAGGCCAAAAGGATGACTTAGGAACAGGGAGGGAAGAGCCTTCAGGATGAGAGAAACGCTAGGAAATGCCCCAGTAAGGAACTTTGGTGCTATTCTAAGTGCCCAGTGAAATGGCTGTGAGGTCCTCCGCCAGAAGGGAACTCGGGCCAGCTGCCGTGTGGAATGGGTGGGAATGGCTGAGCCCAGAGGGAGTCAGCAGTGGGGGAAGTGTACGTGGGCAGGTCTGCTTTTCAAATGCCAGCACCCGCTTCCTAAAGCCTCAGTCATATGCCCAGGAAAGATTGCTAATATCTAGATATATTTAATGTACATCTCACCCTGCATGTACATTTGGGTAAGCAGATGAGAGCTACCTCTCTTGGGTTAGAAATAGAAATTGTTACCAGAGACATATGCTAGGTTTCTGAATTACACAGGAAACATGTAGCACGTTGGGCGAAACCCCTCATTTAGAGAAGCCACAGAGTGTTGTATAGTAGAGAGGATAGAATTTGGAGCTTGAGTTGAGATCTCTGTTGGTCATGGGGACACACTAGCTAAGTTCAACTATAAAGACAGATTAACCCTTCCAGCACTCCAGTTCCCACTGGATTTATTGGTTCACTCAGAAATCAATCAGTGACCATGGTATGGCCAGAGAATTATTTCATGAAAATTGCTAAATATATCTTGAGCTCAATTGCCAGTTTGTTTTGGAGCTATTTCATTGTTTATTTTTTTATTTACTAAGAAGTAAAGGGATGAGTGGGGAACAGAACTTACTGAATTCAAAGAAACAGTGGAATGATGATTACAAGAAGCTGGAGGTAGGAAAAACAGGACTAAATAATTGGTCAGAAAGCACAAATTTCCAGTTAGAAGATTAATTAAGTCCTGGAGATAATGTACAGCATGATGATTTTAATTAATAACCCTGTATTATACACTTGAAAGTTGCCAAGAGAGTAGAGCTCAGGTGATCTCATCACACACACACACACACACACACACACACACACACTCACAAAAGAAAACCCAACAAAATAATGAAGAGCCGGGAGAGACTTGACTAGCTAAGACTGTGGTGGTCATAGTTCATTGTATTCATTCATAGTATACAAATGAGTAAGTACACTGTCTGCGTCATACCATGTGGTCTGTCCGTTATAGTGCAGTCAAGTTGCAGTAGATAAAGGAGCCTACTTAGAACTTTTGATTCCTGAGGATTCCGTTCTAAAAATGACTAGTATCCACTATTAGTCATTATTCCCCCATTCCAGGTGAGACGGAACACTCATCCACAGGTGTGACCATCCGTCATTTTATTGCATTTATTTATTGTGCTTTCTGACCAATCATTTGGTCCTGTTTCTCCTACCTCCACCCTCTTATAATCATCATTCCACTCTGTTTCTTTGAATTCAGTAAATTCTGTTCCCTACTCACCCCTTAACTTTTTAGTAGATCAAAAAATAATGAGTAAATAGCTCCAAAGCAAAACTGCAATTGAGCTCAGGATATGGTCTAATCAACATGCATGTTATTTATATGTTCTCCCACTTCATTCACTTTCGATGACATTGTAATGACGGTCATGCTGATGGTGATGATAACAATGAACTTCACCATGATGGTGAACCCCTGGTGCTTCGTCTGTGCCAGGCATTCTTCTGAGAGCTTTCCATACATGAACTCAGGAATCCCTGATGTGTCTTCAAGGGATAGGTACAACCATTATTCCCTCATTACAGAACACTCACCCCAGATGTGATCATCGGTCATTTTATTGCATCTTCTGTGTTAATGTGCCTCATCCCCTTTAACACGAGAAGGATGTCTGGTATGAGGAGAAGCAGGTCCAGGACAGAGTATTCCAGGATTTAAAAGATCAATCATGAAGGAAATTAGGAAAGAGATTAAGTAAAATGGAGCAGCAAAAAGAGGAGAAGATGAAGGAGAGGCAGGTTTCAAAGAGGCTGAAAAAAAAAGAAGTGACAGGCAAGGGCCTGTGTCACATGGAGGTGGAGCCATGTCATTGATGGGGGTGTCAGCTGACCCTGTTCACCTCCTAAAAAGCCTTTTCAGCGAGTGATGGAATTAGAAACCATAGTTAATGGTTTAAGAGGTTTTAAGAGGTTACAAAGGAATACATTATTTTTTAAGATTTTATTTATTTATGCATCCAGAGCTGGGGTATAGGCCAGAGGTGCAGGGGCTGTGAGAGGATTCCCCAGAGATAGATTGGGGGACAGAACAGGCCGACTGACAAAGTACACTGTTGAGGGGAGCAGCAGGCAGGTCAGGAGAGGTCTACCACGCCATGTGGGTCACCTCCTGGCCGGGGATCGAATTCATGCTGAAGTGGCTTTAGCTTCTCAGTGCTGTGCTTTAACCCGCTGCGCCACCAGGGAGGTCCAAAGACATCATATGAATAGAGTGTTTGTAAAGACATTCAGTCGTGAAAGATAGTTTTCAAATTAGTCATGGGCATTGAACCCTAATAGATGGTATGTAGACTTGTATCACCATGAAAAGAGTTTTGACGAGGTACACTGGTACCCTCATATTGTGAGAAAGGAGGAGGGTGTGGCTGCCTTTGGTTGAGAAATGAGAATACATTCTTAGTACCAAGATAGAGGCAGCTAACTCTCACACTGTCATTTTTATTACTCGTGGAAATGATGCTGGATGCTGCATGTGTATCCAGCCACACGCTCATGCTTGTGAATGTGGAGCAATGATGAAACAACTGGATCGATTCTAAAAGGAAAACCCCATTTATTGTGATGTCACACAGGCTGCTTGATCTTAACTCTGAGATGCTGCGGTTACTACATCTGCCTTCCTGAGTATCTCGCCATTAAAAAGTAGTCTTTTTGAATAATGACAGAGATGATTAGTCTTGGTTATTGTTGAGGGTGACTTTAATCTGGGATGGTCAGAGCAATGACTGAGGATGCTGGAAGCTGGCCAGCTAGACTCATAAAAGTAGCATGAAGTTCCCTGTCTAGTCTGTTGGTTTCTTCGTAAATTCGTAAAATGTGTTTCACCTTCTCCCCTAAGTGCTCTAAATGGGCCGTGCGAAGGGTGGGAGTCCTGCTCTAGCTGGGCAGCCACTCAAGAGCAAGGAACTTGGTACCATCAGCTCTGCATTGATTCTGCTGAGGCCTGGCATGTGAAAGACAGCTGTGAAGCACTTGGCATGCTACCAGTAGCCCAACGTGGCCACTCCTCTGAGGCCTTCAAAGGCTGTGTGCTGGGGAAGGAAAGGTCCCCATGATTGCTGAGCCATGATGAAGAGATCTCTGCGCTGTAGCACATAGGCCAGCACAGGGCGTCTTAGAAACCTGCAGTGTCTACTCTGGAGACTGTTCAGAATTGCATTGTCCTAAGGCAGAAATGCATGTCCTTCTGATTCCTCTACCTTGCTGCTCCTGTATGTGTTACTTTGAGTCCTTTTGGAATCATTTTTTAAGTAAATGTGTTCTACTCAGGCCCTTCCCAGATGAACTTAATGAAAGACTCAAGTATTTAAGTTGGACTCAAGGAGCAAACATTTCTGGCAGCTGGAAAACTGCTTAGGGAAAGTTTTTGCTGCCTTTATTGATTCCTCTCTTTAAGAGTTTTGCATCATTCCTGTTTTTCTCACTAAAATGTGTGCTTCTTTTCATCTGGAAATCTGAAAGAATTCAGGAGATTACCAGTTCTCATTAGTTTCTCCTTGTTACACCATTGCGTCTCTCCCCAGAATCAAGTGCATGTTCTTGTGTTACATCAGCCTGCAAGAAATATCATGGAAGCACCGCCATCAGGGTGTAGGATTTTAAAATATCTTCTCCATTATAAAATTAAGATATTCTCAGGCCCTTCCAGGTGACGCAGTGGGCTAGAGCTCAGTACTGCAAGCTAGCCAACACCACTTAAGTGTGAGTTCGATCCCCGGTCCCAGAGGTGACCCACATGGTGCCACAGACCTCTCCTGACCCGCCTGCTGCTCCCTTCAGCAGTGTACTTCATCCATCTGCCTGTTCTGCTCCTCACCCTGTCTCTGGTGAATCCTGTCACCACCCCTGCACCTCTGGCCTGTACTCCAGTTCTGTATGCACAAATAAATCTTTTAAAAACATAAAAATAAAATTAAGATATTCTCTGTGAAGGTATAAAAAATACAAAAATAGCACCATAAATATAAAACTCATGGAATACCACCACTGGGGGGGACTGCTCGCTCTGTGTGATATGCACATCTCCCCAGTTTCTCCTTTGTGCAAACCTGTGTGTTTAAAGAAGATACTCAGGTAGAATTGGGGGCATACGCTGCTGTGACGTCCCTTCCTATGGCAGGTAACTGCTAGAACTTTGTCTGAAGACGTCATATTAATTACTGTACTATACTATACTATACCATACCATACCATATAATACCATATATACCATATATACCATACCATACCATACTATATATACCATACTATACCATACTATACTATA